CGTGTTTATGTCATAGAGGTTCAGCATCATTTAATAGCTCCATAGCAAGCCACCTAGCTGACACAGGACATCCAATCAACATAGCGATATGTAGAAATAAAAAATGGATAGTCCTTTCACGGTTATCTTCTCTCCTAACAACAGCAGAATCTTTGAAGGTGGTGATTATATAAGGCGATTCGAGACTACTTCGAATCGCTGAAGCTGTGGCCATCCGGAGAGTGAAGCCTGCATTATGCATGCAAAAGGAGACCGTTACCAACTTATTACTACTTTGGTAAGCACTTATTCTTTGAATTTAACTTGTCGAAACTTCATTTTATCTTAAGTTATTTTATTTTTTTGTGTGTGACATAACTCAGTAATCGCATTCATCTGGTTTCTTACCAGTTCTTAATATCTTTGTGTTCTTGACCTCTTTCACCTCGGTTGAATAACTTTGCACGTGACTACATGGTCAAGTCTGTCTCCACTTGTGCTTGAATTACCCTTAAATGCTAGAACATTTTCCATGTACAACACACAATGTCTCTATATCGATTATGATTCACTGTTCTAACTTCTCATATACTTTGTATCTCGTCTCCATTTTTGACGTGTTATTCTACTCTTATAAAATGATCTGTCTATTCAGCTAAAGTAAGTTTTTTTAATTATTTCTCTTTGATTGCTTATATAGTTTATTATTCAGGTTGTATGCAGGTGATGAAAATCCTATGAAATGAATTTATCTCATCCTGCAAAAGATGTTCTTACTGCATTATTCGAATAATAGGGTTAAATAATATAGCCCAGCAATTCAGGTTAAGATAAGTTTTGGGCTAATCCAGTGTACTGGTCCCGATCCCCAGCCAGATCATACAGTCTGTAAATGTAGATGCGTGCTGTCATTTATATCGTATTTTGTGTTGTATAACTTGCACCAGAAGTCATTTAATTCACAGATCCGTATCTTATCTTTGTTTTCACACTCCTAGTTACTCCATAACTAATTCATACTTTGGGTTATATAGCATGTTGAAGTTATTGGTGATAGTCGATAGGACTCCACAACTTCCAAGTCATAAAATATTTCCAGTAAGTACCACTTTTCTGATTTCTAATCATTCTAATGAAGTAAATGTTAACAACTGAATATAGGTATAAAACTTGGGTAATGTGGTAGAGCATAACTCCATTTTGGATAAGATTTTATTTTGATAAATCACACAGTGTTGTACAGTAATATTAACTGTACAACTGTACTGTACAACACCGTGTGATTTATCAAAATGAAATCTTATTCATAAGGGAGTAACAAGTGCGTACTTGTCAAGACAATCTATTTATCGCAGTGATCATTACCATCGACTATGAAACAAACTATTTTACCATTTAATTATTATTCTATTTGTTAATTACTGCCTTGATTTTCGTGATTAACTTACATCGCTTAACTATCCTGAAATAAGGAAATCCTTATTGACTGACTAGCAACTGCCTGACTGGTGTATTTTAGTATACTGTTTAGATGTAGCGCGTAGATGGTTCACTGGTAAAATGCTTGTTAGCCACCCAAGTGGTCCGTATCGGATTCCTGGCTTATGGATGTCTAAATCTTGCGTACTAGCTGGTAATGAGTCTGAAAAAGAAGGGAGGTTGGTTGTGAGGTCACTAATCCTATCCCATAAAAGCTAGATTACCACTACTGAAACGTAGAGGCTTGAAACCTTATGTTCCACGCAAAATGGGCGAATTATAATTTAAATTAAATCAATCCAGTGTTATATGTGGACAACTAATCAAGGAGAAATATCTCTTTTCATATTTTATATATGATCACTTGACTTCCAGTTTTCAGGTTACACTGCTTTTTACTGCTTCAGTGTGGTTAACTGAACCATGCTATAAGCTCTCACACCTAAAGTATAGGTTGTAGCATGATAAATTAAATTACATGCACAAAAGTAATAAGTTCCCTCATATTTAAATGTTAATTATTCAACTTTAATCGATTGTATCCTTCTTCAATAAAATACGATACATAGAATTTAAAATTCATGAGCCAATACGTTTCGAGCTACTGACCCAATAGTTGAGTGCTTGTTTCAAGATATTATGGTCGGGGTATCAAAACGATATCAGTTTTAAAATGTTAAAAAACCCAAACTACAACGAACAGTAATTTAACGCTAATGGTTTTGCAATGACTTTGTAAAGCTGAGTTTTACTTGTGAAGAAATCATTGGTGAAGTACAATGTGCCTTTCCTTAAAAAAAGCATGGATTTGTATTCGTTAGAGTCGACAAAAATGTCACTTAATACATTATGGCTTGTATATATCATGAATACGACCATTAGTGATCCCAGCGGCTGAGGTTTAGTTTCACACCTGTGAATCTATGACTGGAGTTGAAGTGTCTAAAACAGTATGAATTCTCTTCATGCTACATGACATTCTGACGATGAATCCTGATTACGTGTGAATTACTGTTGATTAACACAAACCACAGACACTGTCACTGGTCAAATAAATAAAACATATTTACAATACTAATATTTATTTATTCACAGGACATAGGTCAGCAAAGAATTCTCTTTTCGTAAGTTCACTTCAAAGTTGTAAAGTTACCTAATGTTCTAAAAGGTCAAGGAAATGGTGATAAAAGTCATCTGTTAATATCAGTTGGTAACAAAATATTCAGAATTACATGTCAGGTTATTAATAGATTACACAATCTAAAAATAGTAAATGATGATTATCGCTCACAAATGATTACCATGAAAACTACAAGCACCTGGACGCAGAAATATTATCCATAAGTGTTAAGGATTCAGAATACTTATAAAGCATATTTTAAAGTTAGAATTTTGAAAGGAAAGAATGAAAGTGAATAGAGAGTGAATATGGATTATATGCCAAATTAGTGTACAAGTTAAAACTAAACTGCATATGCAGAAGCGGTTTATCTAATCCCTTCAACTAATGTGACTTTAATCTTCTCCTTATCAAATTTTACAATAATTTGGTGTGTGGTCCATATTCATTCTCTCTTACTGCTCTTACTGTTTCCTTCCAGACTCCTAACTTTAAAATATATTTTATAAATATTCTGAATCGCTTATTCTTATGAAAAATTTCCCTATTCCTAAAGGCTTGCAGTTATAGTGGGGATAAATTCTGAGGGATACTAATCACTTGATGTTTTCGAATTACGTAATTTACTGACTTGCCTGACATGTAGTTTGATGTCACTTATTGATATGGACAATTGACCTTTATAGGCATTCCCCCGACCTTTTAGAATACAACTTTGAAGTGAAGTTATGAAATGACCTATATTTTTAAAATTTATATCACATGGGTATTTTTCATAATTTATTTATTCATATAAGTGAAGTCACTTAATGACTAGGTTTATCCAAATGGAAAATAATACTTTAGAAGTTAGTCATTTAATTTGAAGACTGACAGAGAGAGAGAGAGTTCATCAGTTTATGTACCGTGAAGTACATATGTTCTTTAAACAGTTGACTGATAAAATTATTATAAATATTCTGGAATAATTTAATTGACAAAGTACTTTATATAGGATTATTATGTTTCATAATCAACTTAGATACCATCGTCAGTCCTGTAACTTCACAATGTTTTACCATTGTTTTACGTAATTTCTAATAAACTGTTTAGAGAGTAGTTATAATATTTGAAGTGCTTTTCTAAAGAGTAGTTTTATAAAAACATTCATTAGATACAAACAACGAACCGTCTAAGCTAAGATGTTTTGTTTGCCTAAATATAATATTGAACAGGAGAAGTAAGTCATAAAACAAAGTATACTAACTTCGAGGGAGATTTTTCATATAGTGACACCAGAGCAATGCAGATGACCTCGGGAGACCAGTTTATCACAGTAATCTACTTAATTTCAAAATTAAATTGTTAATTTGAATCTTGGACCGAAATGCTGAGACTAACAGGGCTGCCCTGTGTATCTCCTACAGAATCTTAAAGTTAACATTATGTGACACAAAAAGGAGAGATTTATTTACTTTATTAATTTACTGAAATTTTGTGCAAAATCTGAACTGTATTATCTTGTCACAAGTTTAAAGCACTCAGCTTTTGGGCTTCTCCGTTTATTTTCCTTAAACAACCAGACGTTATTTGGCAAAAAGAGGTGACACTCAGCTATCCGAGGCGTTTAGTTTTTGACTGTCATTCTCAGTAACACAAGTCTGAGTTTCACAGAGAACGTTATTTTATAAAAGATGGTAAATACACCTAATTATTGGGTGGCAATAATCACGAAAACATGAATCGGGCAAGGCTTTCTCAATATTTCATGCTCATTTTCTTTCTCTAATGATATAACTTAGAGAACTGTTAAAAACCAAGAAACAAGCGACACCTGTTTTGGCCTAATTTTTGACTCTTTGGAAATCTCGAAAAGTTACATTTATAGAATGGCTGAACAACAGTAACTTTCACCTCCAGATACGGTTGATTCACAGTATACCACCAATGATTACGCAAGGTTTCTTAGTTTTTAGTAATCTTTGATATATGACTACATATTTCAGGTAAAGAGGTTATTGACGTCACGGTAGATGTTTTACTCTCCGAGGACCAATTGTACTAGACATGAGATTCACAAATGTATAAACATTACCTTCAGTATAATATCACAATGAGGATTTACTTGTGTTAGAGGTACTTGCACTAACATCGAAGATTCTACAGACAAAACCTACAACTCAGTGTGAAACAAAACGACAAAAGCTTCTAGACTTTTTCAAATACTTCACTCCAAAGAAAGTTATTCCAACCGTGTGAAAAGTGACCCTCTAGTTACATTAAATTTAGTAATACTAACTAACATATTTTAAGAAAGGAAAAATCTGGTTTACTCATCTTCCGTGGAAATTCAATATTTTATTCATTTTAAACTTAGTAATTATTCATACGCATTGCTTTACTAAAAGTTATAGTTAATTATTAATAGCACGAAAAGATCACCTTATCCATAGCGTTGTGGTCTCCATCCTCTTGAGGCTAAATTTCCACTTTCGAATGAATTATCAATATTTGTGTTAGGATTATCGTTGAAATTCATTTCTATTCTTCGCTTTATAACTGGTTCAAGGAGATGATTACTTGGTAAGTTCAAGTTAACATAATGTCCTTGTCGGTATTGTTGTTGATGTTCTGGTTGATTTAGATTTTGTTCATGATCATAATCATAATTAGAAAGTGGAGATAAGGGATGTGATTGTTCATTTCTTTGCATTGTATTTAGTGTATGCAAATAGTGTAAAAACTGATGGGGTTTTATAGATTTTAATAATGATAATAATATTAATGGTTTATCTTCATGAAGATCTGGTTTAGTGTCAATACTGTTTATTGTCAGTGGAGAAGGATAATTTTCCCCGTTGACAAATACAGTAAGATAGATTGTACATAAATAAAGGTAAGCTATAAGGAGATGTTCATGTACTGTTGTCATCGTTATCATCAGAATTATCAGTAGCACAATGAAGACTTCAAGAAGTCAAAACAACTTCATACTAATAGTGTCAACCAATAAATATGGAATACTTGTGAGTATATATACTAATCTGATACTATACCAACAGTATCAGTAATTTGGTCGGTCACCATTGCCATCACCACCTACACACATAATCTACATGTATGTTTATATATATGCATATATTATTTGTTTGTATCTACCTATTTAATAATTTCAAGTGTTGTTCACCTCACCTGTCTATCGGTCTATAATTATGCTGAAATGTTAATTTTACCTTTTATTATTAAACAGTAAAACATGAATATTTCATTGGTCAGTTTACGTTGAAAATCACTTTTATGCAAGACAGGGAAATAATGATATAAGAATTATTTAAAATGAATATTAATGACCTTTAGAGAATATTACTTAACTACTATTATTATTATTATGTCATGCGGTTGAAAATAACACAGTGACTTTGAGTTAGTTAGTTTAAACAGAAATACATTAACTTTACATTTGTTGACCTCAGCGTAATAAAAAGTACATTTATCATAAAAGCAATATTTGTCTGATGAGGTTATTATATCATATATCTTATAGATAATAATATATTTTACCCAGGTTTTGTTAAATAATTGTTTAAATTATTCATAAATATATAAATGTCATTATTGTTATAGTAAAATATCATTACATATATATATATATATATATATATATATATATATTCCATTTGTTAGATGTCGTGAAACAAAATTAGTCAGAGATAATTGAGGAGCAGGAAGCACTGGACAGCTGTTTCGTCCTATTTTGGGATTCTTCAGCAGTGCGTACTCAATACCCTACCAGGGATCGGATACAGGGCCTTCAGGTTACGAGACCAAGCTTGTTGACCATTTAGCCACTTAGGCTGGGATTCATTGACCGGTAAATTCTAACCATGTCAATCCTGAACGAGTGCCTTCTACGAGTTTCATGTCATCTTGACAATAGTGGACTCTACTGGTCACAACTTATCACTACAGCTTCAGAGTATCCATCCACTGGTCATCAGTCAGCTGGTGGTTGATATTTAGATTACAGGATTCATTCAATAATCTCCTTAACTGATGTTAGTTAGTGACAAAATCCAACCAATAACACTATTTCAAATCCCGATAAATCCCATTTTATATATGTTGGTTATAAAATCGTAGGAAAGAAAGTAAAAGTAGATGGTTGTATCTTCTTAGTTTCAAACTTCACCGTAATTCTTTCTCATCATTTCCTGTGGCTTTAAAATAAAATCAATTACGTTTCAAAACCAACACCTTTTTATTTAGTCAAATGGTCAGTATCATACAATTCAAGTTTATCAGCTCATTTACCACACAGTGTTACACAGTGACGGATATAAAAGACATACTTTTTCTTAAAGTTCAAACAAAAACACGTAACTGGTTGGAACTAGTGGAATGGAAGTGATAACCGTCCCTCTTCTGATAACAGATTCATATTGTTGTAAGTTTCTAAGGTGGAGTAAAATAGATATTTCATCTAAGCTGATTTAATTGATTCTTTAATTAGTCTTAGTTTTATTATGAAGCAAATTTTAAGCTTGCTTATATGAGTTTACTCACTTAGTCTGTATAAACTAATTATACCACTTCTCCGTTTAAGTCTTTGTTCTTCATGCATCCAGGTGATGTCATATTTCTGATAATTTATCGGCTGTTTAGGGAAACCGGAAGGAATTTTCTTGCAGCATATCAATCGAAAATGTTGCTAGAATAAGCGAGCCCATAAAGAGGTAAGGTTTAACTAGTATGAAAGTAATTATTCTTAACTGTAGACGCTCTTAAGAGATGCCTTAATGTGCTTAATACTGCTTTTATCCTACCTCACTTTCAGTACAAGATAAATCACATTGGTTTAAAGTTTTCAGGCAGTTATATCCCTCTGGAATTTTCCCATCACTGAAGGTGACACACAGAATCACTCACACTTCGCAGATTTTCTCACTGACCTTTTACAAGAGACTTAATATACAGATGACCCTTGACTGTACATTCTTCGGCATAGTGTCGTGATCTACACAAATATGTATGCTTATATACACAGACCTAAATTCTTTAATATGGTACACAACATTAAGCCAGTGGATTAGAGATTTTTTTCCCTTTCAAGGTAAGTCTCTCCAAGAACCAAATTTAGCTAGAAGAACCACTGAAAATCAAAGGTCACTTTGCAGCTGTCTTGTTCTAGTGGAAGACTCTTCAGCAGTGAGTGCTTGAAGGGAGGAATGTGAACCGTCAGTTTAAGAAGTAAGCACGTTATTCTTAAGTTGTTTATATCAGAACTGAAACGATTGTCGTTCTAATTCCCTATCAGTTCATCATAGTGCTTGACTAGTGCTCAGTATCTTCAGCTGATATTTATTTTGTGATAATACTGCTCCTAGAATCACTATAATCCCCTCGAATTCAGAGCTGAAAATCTGATTTGATATTCATTGAAAAATGGTTACAGAATTGATATTCTGATGTTTGAATGAGAAGCCGTGACTAACGACGTCTGCCAAGTTGAATAATAATAATAATAACTCTTGATGAGATCCAAATCCTAAAGTTACTCAAATATTTTTGTTCCAGTTTTGACTAAAGTCATGATACATTTTTCAGCTTCTGGAAGGTGAAGGAGTTTAAATCAAATACTTTATTGATTGCAATTTAAAGGCAGTTAACATACCAATAATGTTTAGTGTTTTTATGCAATGTTTGCCTGATAGATGTTTAGAAACGTGAATAGTAGTCAATTAGTTAGCTTTTCATTCATTTTAATCATTTCAGAAATGTTGTATAGGGATTTTTCATATGATAATTATCGACATGGGATGCACACTTGCAAACTTTTACTTCTACCGTTTAACATTGGATACTTCATTAAATTTGTGCATTTAAACTATGGAGAAATTACTGCTTTCCTGAATCTTTAATAGAAATTACTGCACCATTTAGGTATCTGGATTTGAATTGAATTATAATCAGTTGTTTCACTGTATATGCCAACTACATTGACTGCAATCCTAAATTTACAAACAATTGTGTAATTGGCGTTGAAATCTTGGATTGATAATGAGAAAATTTTAGTTTTTTCATTGTAGGGTAATTTTATCGTTATGTAATATGTATAAAACATTTTGTCTCTTACTCGTTTTAATAAGTGAGAGATTTATCACAATGAAGCAGTCATCGTTTCGACGCCAGATAAATTTTAGAGGATACTGGCTGGAATCTAATAGGGAAATGACAGAGTTAGTGATAGTAATTCTGCTTTTTTACACTTTATTGGAAGGCACGTGAAATAATGATGATGTTTAAAAGAGAAAATATATCATATGTAGTGTAAATAAGTATAATTTATCAGTCAGCCATTTTTCTATATCATGAAAATAAACTCACTTCGTATCTTAATACATTTGAAATTTCGTTCACTTCGTGATGCTATAGCCGTTGAGTAATTCAATTGAAAGGTTTGTGCGCGTGGAAAACCAATTTATTGCAAGGTAGCTTACGTGACCAATCGGTATTAATTGGAGTGCCATTGAAAATGTGGAACAAAAATAACTTTTTAGGATAATGGTAATGGTCTAGTGTTTGAATGTTTGACTATGTATAACCTAGCAGTCCTGAATTGGATTCTGCATTCAGTATCTTTTGCGCAATTCTTTAAGGTCTCACATTGGAAGGTAATTCCAGCTGGGTGTTCCTTAACTTTTATTGGTTTTCAAATATCATCGATCTGTGGCAAAAATAGTTTTCCAGTGACATCTCACTTAAACGACTAGTCAGCAAAATGTAATAAGCAGATTCAAGACAAAATCTCAAAGATTTAAGATGCCACGACCTGTGGTCTCAAATAAGCAGGGAATAAAGCTAGTGGTTAAATGGCAGAATGTTTAATAACAGTGAATGAGGACAGGATTCAATTCCCAGTCGACACGCTCATAAACTTCGTCTGTTTACTTGCTGTTCAGAACTCACTGACGCAAATTTGTTTCTCCCTGAAAATACTTAATATTTAGAAAGGTTTTAGAAAGGTCTTCTTTACGAATGCCAAAAGGCACTAGAGATGTTGGACTCCGCATATTGATCAGTAATAACTACTGTAATAAAAAAGTTTTCATCCAGGAGAATGTCTAATTTAATTCTCAATGATCTAATACTTGTTTAGATTACGAGGTCACGAACCACTCTATCCGCCTGTTTTCGCTTAGTTCTTGTCCTTAAGCACTATTCCGACCTGTACACTTGACTGGTGGACTCCACTAAGATAAGGAATCAAGGGGAAAAATCCCAGCTATGATATTTCACACATTTATACAAAAACAAACAATTGAATGGGACGAATTGACAGTTCTAAAGTCTAATGCTTCAGGGTAAGGGGATGGACTCACAAATGAAACTTTATTTGTCGAACCAACTGAGAATACATGGAGTAGGAATGACCCAACATCTGTCCCTCACATCTGAAAAATTCTAATACCTTTACGACAAATGAAAAATAGAAGCCAGAAATGTGAAAACCAAGTTTTCGAATCATTGAGTTAGAATTGATACGATGATGAACAATAAAGTATGTCCTAACAGTCACATATAGTGTGATGAATAATAATAACAATAGCCTTCTTATAAACAATAAGTTTACACAACATGCACAATTTTCAGAGTAGTTTATTGCATATTATTCACTCTTCATCCAGGAGTTTCAAGCAAAAGAGCCATCTCCAGTACATCATGTGACGTAGTAATGTTAGGTCTGAAGAATAAAACAGTTTACTGCGATATTTTTCTTCGGTCCCACAGATATGCTCAGCGATAGGCTACAAACCAATTAAAAATGCTCACAAGTACATTGGGAGATTTACGGATATAACTGAATTATTATAACAACAAGAACTGAAGAAAGTAAGATGCTTTGTCTCGAAAGGGAATTCAGGTAGATAAGAG